AGAGACAGAGACAGAGACAGAGACAGAGACAGACAGAGACTTAGCCTGGCATGGGCTTTTAAAACCTCAAAGCCCACCTTAAGTGACCAACTTCCTTTAGCAAGGTCACACCTCCTAATCCTTCTAATCCTTCCAAGAGTTCCACTCCTTGGTGACTAAGCATACAAACATACAAGTCCACAGAAGCCATCCTTTTGCAAACCACTATCTGGTGTCAGGGAAAGCTGGGGCATGCCTGGGCAAGACTGAAGAATGGGGGCATGTATGAGCATGCACAGAGTCCAAGGGAGTCCAAGAGCAGGGACCTTCTAAGTCACCCAGAGAGAACCTAGCAAGCTGCTGGCTGTGGTGTTCTAGCCACTTCAGCAGGATGGCAAGGCAGAGAAAGGCTGTCTCAAAAAGATCTGAGACTGTCTTTGATTTAGAAGAGCAAATTCCAAGGAGGCTTACATAAGTCTTTTAAAGTCAATGAGAGTAATTTAAGCAATATGGATGGAAAGAAACATGGGAAATGCGAATGAAGTGCTCTTGTGTAGCCCAAATCTACTGGTAGGAACAAGGCTGATGCAAGTTTCACCAGCTGCAAACATCTGCCTTTATGGCAAAGGAAAGACATTTCAGGAAACCCATCTAAGAGCCCACAAGGCCATGGAGCAGGATGCCCATATAATTAGCAACTCCCAACAGTCACTTGTCCACACTGCAGGATTCCTGTGGAGAAAAGATTTAGTGACTTCCATTTGCAGTTTGTTTTTTTAAAGGAATGGGCACAGCTGTCATCTCTTGACCACCCTGACTGCTGTATAGTGTGAATGTTGATGGCAGGTAACTTATCTTTTTGGATGGAGACTGACAGACCAAGAAGAGCTACTGCAAGAGAACCTCATGCACATCTTACTTAGGCAGTGGCACTTTGAGCTTTTGGGGTATCATTTAGCTGGGTATGACACTAGGAGCCCTGCCAACAGATGAACAGCATTCTGCAGATGAGAATGGCATCAGTGACTTGAGGATAGAAAATTGTCCATCATAGATTCTAAAGTGACACCAGTGACACCAGCTCCATTGCACTACAATCCCCTGCACTGGAGTGTGGGCAGAGCCCATGATCTCCATCTTACCAAGCCACTATGGCCAGATGAGGTCGTGTCTTATGAATATGGTAGTTAGTCCATGAGTTCAGTTTGGGATGAGATGGAGGCCACACTTGGAAGGCTCAGTTGTCAAGGGCTTCGGGTAGTATCTCACTGAGAACGTCGAAACCTTGTCATGAGGCTCCTCTGACAGAGTGGGGGCACTAAATTGCATGTTGTTTGTGTTTGAGTCAATGGAGCCACAATGACAGAGCATTAGAAAAAAAACCTCAATTGTATTTTGGTACTTGTACCAAGGTCTCTTTCATCCTACCTTGTTGGTGACCTCTGAACAAATGGTTGCTCTAGTAAGCTTTTGTGCCTCAAGCAATCCATTTCAAAGAAATACCAGAAACAAAAAGAGTATTCATGCATTCTTTAACATGTGTAATAAAAAGTGATGTGGAAATCCAAGGAGATTTTTCTTGAGGCTAAGCTCCCATTGGATTGAGTCACACACTGAAAACTTTTTGTAGAAATCATTAACTATGTTGCTATTATTAATTGAATTTGTGGAGAGAATCGATTCATTCAGATGCTGCCATTCTGGACTTCTTTGAATTTAATGCTATCTAAATATCATAAAATGTAATAATTGTTTCATAGGCCTGGCCCTAGAATCCTGTACCCAGCCCTCCCTTAATCCAATCATCAAATATCTCCACTGCCTGGATCAGAATGAGTTTTCTCTGATGTGTGATCTCCCCATGTAACAGGGCAAGAGATTTAAGAGCTGTTTGTTTAACAGAGACCAAGGTACATCAAGTATTTGGCTTTCCTGTAATTCCTGGTAGTCCTCTAGAAAGCATAGCCACAGAGAGGCACCAGTTCATATAAACAATATACACTACACATCCTTACTGTCCATCTTTTTATTATTTGAAGTAAAAAAAAATTCCTCTAGTAAACTATGTTATCTAACACCCCATAATATGTCTCCTATAAATGAAGAACCTAAACACTCTAGTCCTAGCTTTTAAAATCCTTTTCTGAAAGTGTGGCTTTATGAAGTCAAGTGTACATATGGAACATGGTGTATTTGGCCATAGAAGTATGCCACCTCATTCAGCCTGGGGAAGGAGAGGGTGTGTGCAGAGTGTCTAGATACCAGAGAAGTGTTTGTACACAGCCAGAAGTGGCTTCATCCAAATGGGATACACAATGTGACAATTTACAGTGTTAAAAACCTTCCTACTAGTTTAAAATCCTATAAGCCTTGGGAAAAGTACTAAGAATATTTTTCTATATTCAGCTTTCTCACCTATCAACTGGTGTTAGATGGAACACTACAGACCGGCCCAAGACTGTTTCAGGGGAATACTTCAAAAGTGACAAATCCGGTCTGTAAGTGACAGTAACCTTCCTCTCTTTCTAGTCAAAAGGAATGCATTCTCAAGTGGTAGGTAAGAAACTGGGTGGAAGAAGAAGTGAACTGGTCTTTCTAGTTGCTTTTAAGATGTATTCAACACCTTAAAACTACATGAAAACAAAACAGTGAGTCTATTCTCTGTTTCCAAAAGTACATGCCCACATAGGGATAAAGAATTCTTATGGGACTCCCTGAATCTGTGACACTGAATAGGAGCTCACATAGTTTATTAAAAAGCCCTGGAAGTCATTCAGTAGAATGGTGGGGGGGGGAGGTATGTGTGTGTGTGTGTGTGCGTGTGTGTGTACATGTGTGTAAGTGTGATGTCCTAAAAGTGACAAGAACTTCGCCTACAAGTTTTCACTCCCAATAGTGACACAATGGAATACACATTCAGTAGGCAAGGGAGAGAAAAAGAACAGTGAGTAGATTTTGGAGTCAGGGCAAAATGGTTAATTCTATAACAAAACAATAAAAACACCTTGTTGCAGTCAAGTCTAAGGTGAGATGTCCTGATAGAGCCCCCAACAGTGAATGTCTTCAAGGAAAAAGCAATTTCCTCTGTGGCTGGTACTGCCTGCAGCTCAGGTGGGATGTCTGTTCACAGACGAGAGGGTAGACAGATATAGCCTTCCCGGCCTTTGTCCTTGCTTGCCTGCACCCCCAGCCTGATGAGAACTTCTTTATTTTACCTGTCCTATCACCAGGACCTGCTGGGATTTGCAGCCGCAGAACCAGGGCTAACCTAATATCTCAACAGTCATCCTCCAGCGAACTCATGTTCTGGATGCACAGAAGCCCAGAAACAGAGGTGCCCTTGGCTCCTGAGCATCCAGTGACTTGAGGACGGATTCCCTGAGCCAGTTCAAGCATGCAGGGACACAGGACCAGCATGAGGCTGGTTCACGGGAACCTTAGGTCAAAATGGAAGGATGTCAGAAAAATAAGGCGCAGGTTAGTTTAACAAGAGAGGAATGCCGTAGACAAACCAACTAGATCCCAAAGCGAAACTGGCCATACTGGGATGGCGGGGAGCATGAGGATGCTGGTGCAAGAACACGGCTGGCACCTACCTTTCCTCCCGGTTCTGACCCACACACACGCGGCCTCCATGCCTGGGTGTGGGGTTGCTGCAGGAACGTTGACGCACCTGGAAGCCAATGCCACAAGTGGTGCTGCAGGGTGACCAGGAGGTCCAGGGCGTCCAGCCTCCATTCCTACAGAAGAGGAAGTGATTCAATATCTCAGTTAGGCCAGCTCAGACTCTGAGCCCCGCCTGCTCCTATTGCAAACAGCCCTACATACTGTCAAAGTAACTCACTAGATTACTAGAACTTTACAACTTAACTTCGACCTCAATAACATATTTCAGCTTTTAAATTTTTTCTACCTATGAAGACAATCGTTACATAACACAGAAATTCACTGATTTTAATATTACTTTTAAAGTTTTAAAGTTTTACTTTCCTAAGCTTTAAAAAAAACACATGGAGCTTTATGATGTATGCAATTTATAACACGAAGAACATGTTGCATATGCAACAATAAGTAAATAAAAGTGTCTAAAGCTGGCAGGACTATATGAAATTGGGAAATAAAGGAGGCAAGTTTCTAAGTAACTCTTTATTATATGAACTTAGCTCTGCATACTTGTGGAAGCTGCTGAGATGAACTTTCAGGTAATCACAGAGCCCCATGCAGTAATGACAGAGAGGGTGGCAAAGGCTTACAAAGGAGTCAGAACATGGCCACCTGCTTACACTTTCACAGCATCAGTGAAGCAGGCTGACTTACTGATGATTTTAATCTGAAATAAGCCACACTGTAAGCTTGTTTAGAGGGTGACCCTCCAACAGGGACTGCAGCCTGAGGGACAAACAATTACAGCTCCAGTCTTTCAGTAATGAAATAGCAAGAAACAGAATCCTTGTCATCTTCAAAATTAAGTCCAGGAACCTGTATGAGGTCCCTGTCAGGCACTCTTGGAATCCACCTCCTTGAATACAAGTTATATGGAGCAAGATACAATGTTGACACAACTGAGCTCTCTGTTGTATTATACAGTCTTATCATTGTGGCCCTTGTTGGTTTCTTTAAACTTTATGGGGTAATTGGACCCACCCTATTTTTGTCTGCACACACTGCTCTGACCACCCTTCCCCAGCATTTTAGGTCTTCCTGCCTTTCATGACATTCAATTACCCAAACCTATGGTCAGTTAGTGACTCCATAGACAGTTTTTCCCTCACTGTTTCTGCATTTTAGGCTTCTGAGAAGCAGGTAAGATTTTAAGAAATGTCCTGTTAAGAATCAAGTGAGGAGGGGACTTGGTAATGAGCTTACGAAGCTCTCCTGATGGTATGGTGTACAGGAGAAGCAGGCAAGACAAGCAAGTGTGGTGAGAAACGAGCATGAGGAAACTCAAATGATCTCAGTGGATCATGACATGTGGATTGTACAGGTTACCAAGGGTCTGAAGTCAGTAGAACTGGGGTATGTTGAGCTCTGATCTACCACTGAGTAGACCAAAAATTCCTTTTAGTTAATGCATCATGCTTCACCAGTAGGGATTTTTGGTCATATATTTCATTTCCCTCAAAGAAGTCAATTATATTGGGTAAGTTAGTAATGTTTGCCTATCCAATTGTGAGCTGATAAGCAATTTTAGTTTACAATTTAACTTACAGTTTAAAAATTTCTTCCAAATGATTGAATAGATAAGTGATGGATATCCCTCCCTTTCTGCCACCTTCATCTACTAAAGGGGTGGCTTGTATTAAGAGTGACTGCCCAGATCTCACAACAATATGAGGTGACTTCATGACTTCACATTACAGCAATCTGAGACACTAACCTGGAACAGTTGGTGATTTCCATTCTGGGACCCTCACACTGCCAGCCACCACACTGTGGAGCTGGGCTGTCACAGGAACGGGACCGGCAGAGGCAGGATCCCACAGCAGTGCCATCCGTGTGTGTACATTGTGTCCAGGAAGACCAAGGGCCAAAGCTCCCATCCACAGTGAGGTTTCTTGTCTGGAAGGCAAATTCAAACAATGGTGTTAGAAAAGGTAAAGCTGCCAAAAAATGACATGAAAACACAAGATCCCATCCCAAGTGGCAATCATAACGCTTTCAAAATATTAAAAAAATTAAAATTGGCAGTTTGTGTGGGAATATTTTAAAGTCATGTAGCATAGCATAGGTCACTGGAGAGATGATTAGAAAGATGGAGTAGAGAGGAAGAGAAAGAAAAGGAAGAAGGAATGATAAACAGAGGGAGAGGAAAAGAAAGGAGTAAACAGAGGAAGTGGTGAAGTAAAGGCTGATGACTTCAGAATGGGGATTTGGCAGAATGGCCCACCAATGTGGGAAACCCAAGGAATAAGGAAACCCCACAGATGTAAACATCTGATACATGGTTTCATACACCTTAAAAACAGCAGAAGTCCACGAATGATTTATTCTGGTTTGGCCCAAATGTTACCTGAAAGTGACAATGGTTGATGCCAGGCACATCTTACTGGCTCTGAGTAATGAGACAGCTATAGTTCACAGGCTTATTTTTTTCCAAGGCTATGCTGTAAGCACCATTCAGAGTTTATGTGCTGGCCAGGATGGGCTTGGCACGTATTTATGACCATATGTGACAGCTGCTAAGGGCATTGGAGGGCTGTGCTGCCAAGGATGGACAACAAGCTTGTAGGGTACTTGTGTGGAGCTGTTCAGAGTGGAAAGGGACTGGTAAGGGATCTGGACAGGAACTTGGACCCCAAGGACAGCTTGGGTAATGACTGAGGAATAAGCATGTAGGAAGATCACAAGGGTGGGCTATTCCTTGTCAGTGAGAGTCATTGGTAGGTGCTTCATTGTCATTGGGGATGTAAGAAGGAGTTCAAGGCAGTGACACTGAAAAAGAGCTGAATGCACAGTGGTGGAGACTCTTGCACAGTGGTGGAGACTCCTGCATAGTCATGGAGACTCTTGCATAGTGGTGGAGACTCCTGAACCATGGTGGAGATGTCTGAACAGTGGTGGAGAGTCTTGCACAGTGGTGGAGACTCCTGAACAGTGGTGGAGACTCTTGCACAATGGTGGAGACTCTTGCACAGTGGTGGAAACTCCTGAACCATGGTGGAGACTTCTGAACAGTGGTGGAGACTCTTGCACAGTGGTGGAGACTCTTGCAGGTCAGTGAAGGCAGAACACTGGGCTCTGGCCTCATCTGGCATGTGATGATGTGTTCCCATGTGCCTGGGACATCAGTGCCCTCAGAGAAGAGTGAGCAACTTTTTGAAACATGCTATAAGAGATCCCTTGAGAAGAGAGACTCATGGGGACAAACATTAGGCTCCTTGTCTAAGTTCTTCTTTCCAAAACTGAGTAGAAGGAACTAAAGTCCTAGCCTCTTCATTTTAGTATGAAGACAGATGAGTCGTTCTTTGCAACAATCTGATGATGAGCAAACCGTATATTGTCTCTTAGTACTCTCTCTCTGGGTCCTGACTGTCTTCTCAGCCAGTCAATATGTGAAAGGTACCAGCATCAGAAGGAACAGTATTTTGATCCAGAATTTCTTTAAGTACCATGGGAAATATTTACACATTTTCATGGTGGTTTTCTCTGATATGTTGGCTAATCACAATCTATTGTAACAGACATGGCTCCACAGTGTAGTTCTCTATTCCTTCTCCTTTTTAGTCAACATTAATGGTTTTAATTTCTTAAGGTGGGTAGAATGAGAGCCCCCCAATTTCCATTGTTTCTATATTGGCTGTAGCCAAAGGGAGGGCCTGGAGCTGCCCCATCTGAAAGCAGGTTTGAACATGAGTAAATAAACAAAGGCATGTTTCCCAAAGGGAAGCTCCTTCCTCTCCAATGTCCCTGTAACACCCCTGGCCACAGGCCCCACTTGGACCATTGGGTTCCATGGAAACCATGCACTTCAGAGGAGCAACTTGCCTTGTACGACAACATGACTCAGACCTCTGAGCTGATAGACTCTCTTGCTAAATCAGCAAAGGCCCTCCTTTGGATATTTTCCACATTCGTACTCGAACCTTCTCCTTGTACCCATCCATTATGTAACTAGGTCTATGCTAATAACCTACACAGACTCTTGCCTGCTACATAAACACTGATTCTTGTTGTTAATGTGAAAATCCTAAGTCTCCCATTCAGGGAACAGGCATTGACTAAGCGTGGTGACTGTGCCATTTCTATACACACAGCCCACACTATCCTGACTATTCATATAGGTCACCGTTGGCATTTCTAGAAGGTACTGACTGTCTGAGACAGGTGGAATGCCCTGGGAGTCTGCAGAGTCAGCCTTCTCCTCCACTGTGCCCTAGGGCAATGAACAGGAGCGAGCATCTCACTGACTCTACCACATGCCTGCCCAGGTGGGGAGATTCCGTCAAGAAAATGAGAAGTGATGACAACTATCTACCCGGGGGGTATGCTGGGGGCTAAAGGAAGTGGCACACATGTGTTTGCACAGCCATTAGCCCATGGCTTCCCTGAGTAATAGACACATCATCAGGAAGACGGCTGCTGTCCGTCCTGGTTTTGCAGATGAATGAGGAATGCATGCTTCTGCACTGGCATTTCTGTGAGCGTCTCAAGGCAGACCAGAACTGGATGACAGAAAACTCTTCTCAAGTGTTTACAGAGCTGGCTAGAGGCATTTTCTGGAAGGGGAATCCGGGACAAAAAAATGTTACTGTAGGTAAGATAAAGGTAAGATAAAGCTATTGTGGGTATTTTCACGTTGGAAGTATTGTATAATTTTAGAAATCATGGATGGGTTTATGCCATTGGCTAGCATTGTTCAGGAGTGGAACAGGGGGCCTACTGAGCTATTGGTGAGCAGATAAAATATGAAAGAAAGACCTGTTGAGTCAGAGAGCATGATGCCTGGTGGGGGTCTAAGACTGCTCTGTGCATGACAGACAGGTGCCAGGCCCTCTTAGAAATATAAAAACTATACCTGAAAACAGTATGTCATAGCTTTTCAAATCGGATGTAAAAACCTAATCAGTGAATCTAAGCAAATGTATAAGTCAAGACAACCTGAAAAGCTACAAACAGTAATTCACAGAGCACCAACATTCAGGCAGTTAAAAAAATTACCCCAACTATAACATTTTATATAAAATAGCTCTTCCTTGTGTAAGGCCTATTTTTCCATTTATTAGACTCTGACCTAGTCCTGCTGTGGGAAAAGGAACAAGAAGTCTCCAGAAATAACTTCTATGTCAGAAAAAAGCAAGCCTACAAACAAATGAACAAACAAAAAAGCCCAGAAAGTAATGTAGCTACATGGTAGGTGGGGCATCACACTGAAGAATACACACATGTGACATCTGTCATGACCCTGCCAGGAAATAGAATGACAGGGAGATGACAAGACCAGAGAGATTTAGGAAAATATCAAGAGATGCTGCAAAACCCAGTACCAGCTGTGCAAGGAGATTCGGCTATCCTAAGCTTGGGCATTAGAATGTGGGTAGGACTGATGGAGCCAGGTGAGAGAGCTATCCAGGCACTACCGTGTGTGCACTTGGGAGGCAGAGGCAGGTGGATCTCTGTGAGTTCATGGCCAGCCTGGTCTACAGAGTGAGTTTCAGGACAGTCTCCAAAGCTACAAAGAAAAACCCTGTTTCAACACCCTCCCACCACCAAACATGGATGGCACAGAAAAGGGGTACCAATGAAGCACGGTAGTCGTTTTCATAAAACAGTAGAGGGGAAGGAGTTGCACTGGGCAGCCACTGGTCAGAACACACAGGAGGTAAGAATGTAGCTACAGTGACTAATCTGCAAGGAACGAAGATGGCTTTAGTTCTGCCTGGCAGTGAGGAAATGGAAGACAGGAGAGGCCACATCTTCAATCCAGAGCTGTTGGAGTTTGTCACATTACATTCTGGAGTCAGAAGAACTTGCAAGCCTCAGGGTAGCATGAGAGCAGTGAGTGAATTCCTTGCATGGCAGTTAGCCACATGCCTGGTTGGATTCTGAATGCCTTAGATTGAGGATCTGCCTAGAAGACAGGACTAGGAAAAATGGTGTTCATCCTGGGCACTCAATTTTGAAATCATGATATTTTAAGATCTTCATAACCTTCCTTAAAAGGATATCTGGCATAAAGGCATATGTGCTGGCGGTTGTTACCATGAGCGGATACTTGGCTAGCATAGACCAGGCCTGGGGCCCATCCCAGCACTGGGAAACATGAAGTAAAAGAAAGCACTCTAGAATGAAATGTCTGAAATTCTCTCTGGATTTCTCCCAAGTGACTTTCTTCTGGAAACCTGTGCTTCATGCTATCAAGTACTAAGCTAGAGAAAAACATGCACAAGGCATCCAAGGACATGAGAACCATGGGGGATTCAGTGTGTTGCCTTGAATTCTCATCATACCCCAAGTGAGACGTGTGTGTAAAAGACCCAAGAATCAGTGCAGCAAAATTGGTTGGGGAACCTGTTATGTGCTCTCAGCTATCCTTCTATAATATGGTTTCTGTTTATCCTTTTCCTGCAAGAGCCTACAGAGAGTCAGGTGTATGCAACTTTACCTTCCCGGATACTGAGGAAATAGTTTCCAAGCATTAGCTAGAGAGGATCCATTTTTGTTACTGAGAATTATCCTTTTATGTTGACTCTTTCATTCACTAGTTCTCCACTGGAGCAGTGTGCATGCACATTAGTTGATATCACAGGTACATCTTTATATTCTTACATTTGACCAATATTCCTTATTAGAAGATTTAGTTTTGTTTCTTATTAATGTGTGTGTGTGTGTGTGTGTGTGTGTGTGTGTGTGTGTGTCCATGTGAGGCCAGAAGAAGATGTTGGATCATTTGGAAATAAAGTCACTCATTCAGATATGGGTCCTGGAAACCAAGTTCACACCCTCCGGAAGGGTAACAAGTGCTTAAACCACCGAGCCACCTCTCCAATCCCTCCTACTATTTTTCTTTTATGGCAAAACTGGCCTTAAGTGTTTATCTGGACATCTTTGTTTCAGAAGTACTAGAACTTGCTTTATTTCCATATTCATTTATATTTGCTTCCAGTGTCTGCATGAAGCAGGATATTGGATAAGCTCCTCAGGAAGCTTTGCCTCATGTTATGACATCAATTTAATATCTACTGTAAGCTTATCTCTTCAGATGAATTATAAGGAAAGAGTGTACCTTTCCAAAGGACTTGGCTGCATTTCCATATGACACCTAGGGCTGATCTCTACCTAGTGCCTGTGAGTCCCAGTTAGTTTATCAGTAAAACAAAGCAATAGTGCCTGTCTCTGGATATCACCATGGACATGAAACAACCCACCGGCCAAGTAGGAGGCAACACTTGCAGAGTCAACAGCACAGTTCCTAGAAACAGAATGACACTTAAGGGGAATCCCTACCCAGGAACACCACAAAAGATCTCAGTATCTGGGGTAATGAAAGCAGTGAAGGAGCATATGGGTCCTGTCCTGGGGGTCACACCTTAGAAAAGGCCATTATCGAGACGTGCCTTCCAAAGTTGGTTGTGATCAGGAGACTGGCCCAAGCTCAGGCATAAGTAAAAAGATGGTTTACATGAACAAACTCCCTTTCCTTGGCCAGGGACAGATGTATGTCTCCTCTCCTCTTCTCTTTTTTCCTTCCCTCTCCTCCCCTCCCCTCCCTTCCCCTACTCTCCTCTCCTCATCTCCTCTTTGTCTCCCATATGAATTTTTATTGCACAATGCATAAACGATGTCTCATCTGCTCTCTGAATATATAGGGCAGGTTGGGCCATTCTTCTCTTTATCATTCCATCATTTAAGAAGAGGCTGAGATCTGGGAAGTCTTATTTCTCTATATCAGAGCCTACCAGAAACTCTAGATATGAAGCCTGGCTTCTTTCCTAATGGTTATAGACCCCTGGGGAAATACAACACAAGTTTATCTGTTGCCATCTAAATGTAGACTTTGGTTCCAGCCACTGCCTAAGTACCTTTTGATCTAGGTTCCTAATTACACAGTTGTCCTGAGTAGAACCATCAATGGGAGACACTGAGAGGCTTATCTGGTCCATGGGTTTTGCTGGTTCTTGCAGGGCATATGTTGAAATCAAAGATTCATTGTATTGCATCACATGATATAGTGCATCTACCCCAAAGGACATAAGTGAATTTCAGGTAGATTCCTAAGACTACAGGACCCCTGGTTTACAACATTGCAACACAGGCAAGGACATGTACTTGACCTTGGTCTGCATATGACAGATTAAGTACATTACTCAAGCACCTCAACTCTCTTAACTGGACAGAAATATTTCTAATTATATTTCTTAAGGAAATAGCATATTCTACAGCATGTCAGCAAACTATTTCACAGTCTTTTAGATTAAAAATGTGTAGGCATTTTAACACTGGTCCTCTTTAGTGGAAAATAGGTGTGCTTTTCAAAAACAAAAGCCCTAGAGAACTCCTGGTATGGTTTGAGGTGCCTCTTCTAAACTTCAAGTGTTGCCATGGTGATAGCATAGTTCTGCTTGCTGTGTGTAAAGATGGAGGCAAGCATCCTTCAGAAGGAACAAGAAACATTAACTGATTGCAAAATCCTCTTGGTATTTACTATGTCTAAAACCATTTGGCATCTTAGAACCCATTCCACACTGCACCGACCAGGTCAGACACACCCTGATGACACAGCCCTAGCCTACCAAGTGTGCATTCCTGGGTGTAGGCCTCAGTATGGAAAGTTCAACTAAAGAGACTATATTAAAATAACAGCAACATATAAAATACACACTTTAGAATCAATATCCTACCAAAATCATGAAATGTGCATATCACAGATTTATCTTATGAATGAAATCTTTCCTTTTATTGAGATAAAAGAGCAAATAACATAGAAGTATCATTTAAAAGTAAAAAGTTTAAAACCTAAGTAAGATAATTGTTGATTTTTCCCTTTTAGTATTCTTCCCTTGTCAAATCCATTGGGAAGGAGGATGGGATTCCATAAAATAGACACACCCATGTCTAGAAAAACAGATCTCGTTATGTGTAACTGACACTAGGAATGTGGTCATATCTTCGGGCTGTGATTTAAGTACAACGGCATGTCCACGCTGTCTTTAACTATCATTTTGGTCATGCCTCAAGCATTGGATCCCTCCATTTCACAGTATTTTTCCTGTAGGACACCCAAGACATTCAGCTATTATAAAGCAAGTACATGGGGGTAAATTTCCTTCTGCATAATCATGTGAGCTGGAGATTCTCACATATCTAGCCATAGGTGCAGGAGAAATATTCTTACTATTAAGACAGACTGCAGTTATGTTATCTGCCTCTTACATCCTCTTTAACCATTAAAAATCCAGGACATCAGGCTGCAGGAGGATGCACTGACTGACTATCCATGAGGACACATCTGCACAGACTGACATTTGGGATGCCACTCATTGCATTTTTTGCCTTCTACATAAAATTTAAGTTGACTGTCTTTGTGCTCTTAACGTGTTTAAAACTGAGAAAGATTTCCTCAATTCATGGTATTCTTTTCAAACCATTTTCAAGAGATATGGAAGAGAAATTCACTTTTAAAATCAAAGACCTAGCACTACAAAGACAAAAGGTCTAAGTCAGTGGTTCTCAACCTTCCTAATACTATGACCTTTTAATAGAGTTCTTTATGTTGTAGTGGCCCCCAACCATAAAATTATTCTCCTTGGCACTTCATAACTATAATATCGCTACTATTATGAATTGTAATGTAAATATCTGATATACAGGCTATCTGATATATGACCCCATCTTATGACCCCTTCAGGGGTCTCAACTCAGAGATTGAGAACCACTGTTCTAAGATTAGAATCCCTGTTGGGAGCACTGAACGCCTAGACACTATGATGTCCACACAGACTCCTTTGTGTGAAGGACTCACCACCCACAGGAATGTTTTGGAAGGAGGCTGATCTTCCACGTTTTACTCTGCTTCATTTCCATACAATCAGAAGGAAGGACAGACTTCATTAGCACATGGTTTAGATAAGGAAGGGGCACTTTCTGCAAGTTGTATTGGCCACTGAGAAGCCTGAGGTGCATTTAATGTATCCAGGACAAGTAAAACCCCTGCCTTCCAGTGGTGCTCAGAACTAGGTGGAAGAGACCCACAGCTATGTGACACAGAATGAATAATGGCCCCAGCACTTGGAGTACATTAGTCTTGGTAGTTACTGATCATATGCTAGAATGTCAGAAAGAAGACAGAAATAAAGGAAAACTGGTTTCTCCAAGTGGTGGTCCAAACAGACACCCTGAACAAACAGTGAGATTTGCTTTTCTTGGATTCAGGGCTTGGCTGTAAATACAGGCCAGTTTCTCTTCATTCCTCGGGGTCCCATATGGGAATGTGCACAAGGCTGCTTCTTCCAGGCCTTCCGGTGACCCTGACCAAGGTCTATGAATCTGCTCCACATGGGGCTACAGTAATATGCTTTAATTTAGTCTTCAAATCTTTACTTATGTCAGCTTCTGGAATTACAGCCCCCTGGGGAAATGAAGGGGTGCGGAAGTTCACATTTTATTGGTATAACAGGGACAAGCGTCCACACCGAACTCTACCAAAAAATAAAAACTGTAAAAAGCAGGATCTTATCATGCTCAATAGTGCTGTTGTATCTTAAGTACTTTAAATCAATATAAAGTGGGTAAGATCACCTGTGTGTCCTATCCTGCAAGCCAGGAATAGAAGAAAATTAGAAAGCACAAATTCGTTCCCAGTTTACAACAGCAGATCCACTTGCTTTTGGAAGCTGGATGGGGTGGGCACGTACCGGACAGGTAGTGATGCTCTGCTCCCACTGTGTCATGCTCAGACTCTCCTCCAGGCTCGTGCACTTCTTCATCACCACATCCCAGCCACAGTAAGGGTCCTGGGCACCAATACAGGCACTGAAAACACACATGAGGATACACTGACTGTGCAGATCAGTTACTGTCGGAGAACACCCACAGGACATTTCTGGGGATATGGAGGTCTTTCAAATGTGAACTATGAAGCAGACATAGGTGAGGTGGGGACTCAGGGAGGGACTGAAAGTCCCATGCTTCCTGCTTTGACGTTACCTGGCTGTGGTGGGCTAACTGGGATTGAGCTGGTATTGAACTAGCTCAAGTGGACACACCATGACCCTAACCCTAATCCTAACCCAACCCTAACCCCGTTTTCATCATTATGTGTGACTACAGCACAGCCACGGTTAGAGAGCCATTCAAAGCACTCAAGTTCCTTCTTCTTCTTTTGTTGTTGTTGCTTTTATTAAAGTAACATGACCACCAGGTAAAATCCAGCTTCCCTAAGGGAAGACTTCTGATAGACTTCCTCTTCTGCTCAGGAACCTCCTCTCCTGCAAAGTCACAAGGTTTCTGCACTAGAGTGAAGGGTTTGGGCTCCGAAACTCTGCCTATAATAACAGCCGTCTTTCTACAGTGCTGAGTGTTCTGGTTGTTTTTTAATGTTCCATCTCTTTACATATTACAACTGCAGTCCAAACACAAATACCCATTCAGTAGAAAGTCACCAAATTATAATTTCCTCCTCTTCTACCCTAATCCGATCACTATGACTTCTTATTTTTGGAAGGTGAATGTTTTAAAGAGGCCATATAGAAAAGATGAGTTTCTGATGGATGTAGTCCAAGTGGCATTTCTTTTTTATATTTTCATTTCTTTATTCTTGAACTCAATAAGAATACAAGAATAAAAATTAAAAAAACCCAATGTGTTTGAGGTACTTGATTGGAAACAATCATATCAACATGATGAAAAACTTGGGTAAAACCAACTATTAGTATGATTTTATCTGCTCTTTTGACAATAATTTTGTTCCTTAGATTTAAATACTTGCTATCCTAAGACAAAAAATATTAATGTTTAATATACTACAACATAATTATCAAGTGTAGAATTGTTACCGGGCAAAGGAAACCATATCAGCAGAATCATTTTAAAATAGTTCTGTCAGTTATGAAAACAGTTATGAAAAACTGTTGAACACAATCATTTCCCCCAAATCTTTATTCCTCCCTGCTACATATAAAAGACAGAAGGTTCTGGAAAAGTCTCATTTGGGAAGTGCTCATGTGGGTGGGATACCAGAATTTGAAGCAGTAGAGGCTAGTCTCCAAAGCCTAATGGGATACCAGAGTTTGAAGCAGTAGAGGCTAGTCTCCAAAGCCTGATGGGAATACCAGAGTTTGAAGCAGTAGAGGCTAGTCTCCAAAGACTGAGGACCAAGTCAAGAGCTTTTGAGAACCATTGAAGATTAGACTGCCCTGAAAATCCTGTACACCTCAAAGGGCAAATCAAACACTGAGAAGAAATTATTTTTTTTTGCACATATTCGAGCCTCTTCATTTGCTCAGAAAGATAAAGCTCTTGGCGAAGAATTTGTGGCAAAGAGCAGAATCTTGTCCAATTGGTGCAGCTGTGTAAAAGCAATCTATGAACCTGCCAATTCATCTTCAGTTTGGCTCAGCCTGCCTTAACTTACTGTGTTTTATGTGTTTTAGGTTGTCTATATGTTGCCAAGCCTGATCTTGAATTGGATATCCCAATTCCTCAGTATTCCAGGTCCTGGGACATTAGCAAAAACTGCCACGTCCAAGTGGCATGTTTGTTTTTTGACTTGCAGGTAAAAGACAGGAATGTTTTGTAGCCAATTTTCAAAGGAGTGTTCCTATAGTTCAAAAGATCACTCATGGGCAATGTCATTGCAGAAGGACCTAACCCTAATGGACAGTAACACTTCAAGGAAGAAAAGGAACCCTGTTGTCCTGAATTCTTACCATGTGCTAAACTATCAGTCTCTGCTGTCACTGTTATGACCACAGACCCAGAGATTCTGTGAGTTCTTGCCCACTGTCACACACTGATGGCTACATAGGGTCCAAATGAGTCCCAAGTTTATAATGTTTTCATACTTAAGATGTTTTCATGGGAATGGTTCTATCCTTAAAATCATGAGTTCAGTAAATTATACAGCAAAAAAAAAAAAAAAAAAATCTTAGTGGGAGCTCGATCACGGCTGCTATTGACAATTGTGGAGCAGGTTGGGAGCCAAGGATGCTGCTGCAGCTTGGGTTTTTCATGGGACTGTTTGCACAGCTAGAACCTGAAGCTCAAAGATAGGACGACAGTGGGGTAGCCATTAGGTGGACATCTGTATTCTTAGTAGGGCCTTTCAGCTGTGTTTTTCCACTGACGAATGAATGAAACTACCTAGATGACTGGTTAGAACACACTGATTGCTTAGATTTCCATTTAGACCAGCATCATCATGTCTTTATTTTTTTTGCATTTCTTTTTTAGTTAATTTTTTATTTATTTTACATACCAACCACAGATTCCCCTCCCTCTTCTCCTTTCGCTTCCTCCCCCATCTTCTTCTTACCTCCCATCTACTCCTCAGAAAGGGTAAGGCCTCCCATGGGAGTCAAAAAAGCATGGCATATCAAGTTGAGGCAGGACCAAGCTCCTCCCCCTGCCTCAAGGCTGAGCAAGGTGTCCCATCACAGGGAATAGGTTCCAAAGAGCCAGCTTATGTACCAGGGATAGATCATAGTCCTACTTCTAGGGGTCCCACAAACAGACCAAGCTACATAACTGTCACCCACATGCAAAGGGTCTATGTCGGTTCCATGCAGGTTCCCTAGCTGTTGGTCTAGAGTCTGTGAGCTCAGGTCAGCTGTCTTTGTAGCTTTCCCTGTCATGATCTTGCCCTCCCCCTGCCCCTCCTCTCATATAATCCCATCTGCTTCCATCAGTTACTGGGTGAAGATTCTATGATGACAAATTATGGTAACCACCAATATGATTACAGGAGAAGACCAGATCAGTCACCTTCTCTACTAGAGCTGGGGGGTTTTAGCTGAGGTCATCTTTGTGGATTCCTGGGAGTTTCCCTGGCACCAGTTTTCTCCATAACCCCCAATGGTGCCCTCTATCAAGATAGCTCTTTCATTGCTCTCCCTCTCCATCCCTCTCCCAACTTGGCCACCCAGATACCTCCTGTTCCCATCTGCCTCCTCTCCTTTATGCCCCCATCCCAGTTCCAGTTTACCCAGGAAATCTCATCTAATTCCCCTTCCCAGAGCATCTTTAAATATGCAACAGGAAAGAGAACCCCAGAATGTTGGCTAGCTAAAGCAACTAAGGGAAACTCAGAGCCTATAGGAGTCAATTTTACCTGTAGAGTATTTTTAGCACACTTGACTGCTCTTAGAAACCTGTTTGCTGCCCCACAACTGTAGCAGTACCATGATCACACAAAAATAGTTCACAAATAAGAGACAAGGAAGAAAATCACTTGTGATTCAGAGATGTAGGGAGGAAATCTTGGTCCTGGAGAAGACAGGTAGTCCACAGTGCCTCTATATGATGTTGTGCATACATTTGTTTTCACTGTGAACCTGGACCAATATTTGTTATTGTTGCTGGAGGAAGATCCATCTAGAAATGGAGGCTTACTTCATGAGACCCAGTAAGGAGATCAGTCCTAGAAATTTTGCATGTATAACACTACATTACTTTTAGTGAGATGACTATTAAATAGTGCATGCTTCATATCCCGCTTACATCAAGTCTGTGTCTTTTCCCAATCCCAATCACAAGGCACAATAAGGTCATGTGTAATTATTAGCACTGGTGGAGGTCAGAGAAGTGTTTTTTCTGGTTTACAACACATTTTGGAAACTTCCTTTTTACTTTGGTAAGGTTCATGGGGTGTTACAATAATGCTAAAAAATATTTTGTTCCAGCATGAACCGACCTGAGATCCATCTTACAGAGAGCTTTGTGCCACTATAAATAGCATGTGAGTACATGTGACTTCTGCCCCCCTCTTTATTTAGACAGTTACAATCATGGCAGGCATAGAGAAGTTGCCACAGTCATGATTTAATGGCTTCAAAGTAACACACTGTGTGAAAAAGCGATTGAATGTGTCTGTCATGTCCTGGTGCTTAGTTCTAGAATCTGAGAAAACCAGTTATAATTCAGATATGGCTTAGAAATAATTGGACGTCAGTTGAGAGGATTAATTCCTAGCATGGTCTAGGATCAGGTTTAATGATAAATCCATTTTGAAATAAAATGTAATACAACCCCAAGAACCTTTGACTCTGTTCTACATTAGATATTCAGATAATTTTATTTATGGCAGAATTTCTCATTAGACTCCGAGCCCTACACAGGCAGGGTCAGGGATGTATCATCTGTCATCATACACTCCGGAACTGGCTTCGTGTTTGGAATGGATTAAATGCTATAGATACTTTGTGAATGAACTGCTGAAGGAAACACACAGATCTTACAGGTTAAGCGAATGAATGCCACTGTAGTTAAAACTTCAGGACACCGAGACTTGGAAATCAATAAATTAATTGCAGAAGGAGAGTATTTACTTTGTAAAGTGAGTGTTCATCAGAAGGTCCTCCTGGATGCTTGTACAATATGCAACCTGTTGACTGAAGACGTATCACTGGGCCCATGGAGGATGCTGTTATTTTTCTCCGCATGCTATATGCTTTCCCACAGTGCACATAGTGTCTTCAGAGACCATTTAATTAATAACAGTGACAACCTATTAAGTCTACCTTTGCAAACTTTGCCCTTTAAAGCAATGAGTGTCCTATAGTATTTAATTTCCATACTAATTTCTTTAATGAGGTATTAATCCTTTAGCTTAATGACACTATTACACACTAACTGAATTAATAGTGACCAGATACAAGCTCTGCCCAATGAAGCCTAAGACTTTTTCTTAATGGTCCCATCTTTCTTTCTAGTTTTATCCAGTACAATTCTAGAGGTGTCCATTTACCATTTCATATATGAGCTGTGTCTGATCCTGGGCCGACTTTTCTCTTCTCCACAATTATGTCATACAACAGAAGGACCAAAGGGTAATGGCTTCCATTCTTCTTGCTATTTGTATCACCATACCTTTCGACAATTTCAGAAAATGTACCCCCCCTCCCCGCGCCCACTAGGTTATGAAAAGAGCAGAGGAGGCAGAAGCAGGGTCTATGTGTGAATTCATCAAATACATACTGAGACTCTTTTAAGGTGCACATGGAGCTCGAGGCCAAAGGAACCTAGAACCAGAGACCAACCAGGCCTTCGGGTCAGGCCTCTGCAGCAAGATAGAACCTGTGCTCTTCTTAGTTTCTGCTCCAAGACTGCAATCATTGCTGCTTACACACGTTCTCTTTGATTCAGATGGATCCCTCAAATCCAGAATGCAAGCTCTATGACTGGTGGGCTAATCTTATCTCACAAAGTACAAGGAGTGAGAAATTAAAAAAAAAAAAAAAGCAATGCATGGGAGTTTCCCAAAGTTTCAGGATTCTACAAGATTTAGTGTATATTAGGTTTTGTATCTTCAACTTTATCATTTATTTACTAAGT